GAGTAACGAGAGTCACCATCAATGCTAATGAAATATTTATATTCATCAAATCATTTTAGGAAATGAAACTTTCTTAAATGAATTCCAATTTTTCTCCCAGCTCCAGCTTCCACCATCATTCCTTACCACCCCCATCCCTAAATGTATTTACCGAGGCACGTCCTTTCAGCAGCTGTACTCATATAAGTGAACGAAAGAAAAAAACAACAAAAAGGTTTACGAAGGTCGTATGCAGCTGCTAGTAAGTTGGCTTACTTGAGCATGCACATATATGTAATTAATTATCTAACAAGTTGTCTATTTACACAAATAATCGCACAAGTTCTTATTTATCGAAACGACGAGAGCAACACTTTTAGATCATTTTTATAATGATATTTTTATAAAATATCCGAAGGGATGTGGGAACCTCTGATTTACAATCAAATATGGAAACTTAGGATATATAAAAAAAACTCATCTAAACCATAGTATGTGGAAAATAGCAATGATCGTGATGACGGCGATGACAATAACAACAAGAACAATAGCAGCAGCAGCATCAGCAATAATTTGTTTAGTCATTTCGATATATTAAAGGAGATATTTATATAAATTGATTGCCTAAGCATGTTTTCGTATAAATGAATTGCATACGGAGGGTTTATCTTAAAAATAGACGAATTTGTGTAAATTTTCCAAAAAAAAAAAAATATATAAGAGAAATTCTTTAAATTGTGATCACCTTTCAAATTATCGTAGATTTATTTTTTGGTGACATTTATATAGTAAGAGTGAATGTATTTTTAAAATTTTTATTAAAATAGTGGGAGAATAATTATATACGCTCTCTCTCTCTCTCTTTCTCTTTCTCTCTCTCTCTCTCTCTCTCTCTCTCTCTCTTTCTCTCTCTCTTTCTCTTTCTCTCTCTCTCACTCACTCGCTCACTCACTCCCTCACTCTCTCTATCTTCCTTCCTTTCTCCCGGTACCATCATTTATATGAAGAAATGCGATATAGAAAATTTTCAAATTTCAATTATCCTGAATAAAAGGGTTCAAAAATGTTAGTTTAATAGTGTTCAGTCTAAAGCTGATATATTAAATTCATGCAGCACGCTTTGCCATTAATTTTGTTCTACAAGATTATTTCATACTTAAACCGGTCTATTTACATAGTCTGCACCACTTCTATACCAGAGACTGGACTGTTTTGCGTATGAGACTTTGTGTAACAATTTAAAGCAAGAATGATTTTCTGAATAAATTTAAGCTTGTCAGTCAGTCGGCCCTTTTGCCCTTTAAAGTAAGGTTAAGGCATTTTCACGGAATTCCATTTCGAGAAAATCATTATATTGAGAAAGTCTTCATTTTTCAAAATGCAAAAGAACAAATATTTTATTTGGATATGTAATCCACATTTTTGGGTTCGCCATGATTTCGGTTTATGTTTTTTTACTACACTAGAGTGTACTATTCAATTGCCTGGATTTTACGAATCAAAAAATTTCTTTTAACAAATAATAAGATTATATCGGGCCACGACCTAACTTTAAATACCCTACACTATCCTACTAGTTATTTATTTAAGGGTTTTCCAAAATTAAGCGTTATATGGGAAGTGATCGGAAAAGTGATCCGTTCCGAACAATTTTCAGTGCAGCAAATTCCGTCAAAATAACTCAAAAATTGTGATCTGTAGGTTGAATATAAGAAAGCAAAACAAAACAAACAAACGGAAAGACGGATAGACAAGCTTAAACCGATTTAGAAAATGGCTTTAATTATATGGAAATTCAATGTAATTTATGGTAACCGAGTTTTTAGGCTTGATGAAGCCTGAAAATATTACCTTGTATCAGTACTGAATACATTTTATGAACTCTGTATCAGTTCTTGTTCACATGTGCGAAGTGATAGATACGGACAGTTTTAATGCTGAAGACATGCAACATATTTCTTTGTATTGCGCAATTTCGACAATTACTTACAGCCACTGCATCACTAACGATAATTTGTCTAAGAAACTCATGGACGCTATGATTGAAATCCAACGAACTTTTTCACTGCATGTTCACAATTGCAATGTTTTTTAAAATAAAAAAATTATTTAACGCTTAAATGTGTACTCTTAAGCATTGCATGTTATTTATTAATTTTAATGAAGTGCTCTTTGGGATTTTTTTGCTTTTTATTTTTGTTTTTTTCGTTCTTCTTTTTACTTATAAAAGCTACAGCTTTACTTAACATTGTACAGAAACTGACTTATAGGGATTGAAGGCGTTACCAGGTTGAGTACATTTCCTTTACAAATATGAGTGGAACTTCCTATATAATATATACAATCCATATTTCGAAAACTTCTAATCTTCACTGACACATCACATACTGTGGAACGGCCGAACATATACAAAAGTATACATATTTCATATAGACATTGATTTTAATCTGAGATGATTTAAACTCATTAGCATATACAACGATGGTTAATATAATTTTGCGTGCTATGGCTCAATACATATATGGTGACTAAAGAGCAAGCAAATAGATAGGCCTTAGAATGATTACGCGGAACCTTCGCATTAGAAACAATTTTTGAATTTAAAGAAAATCTTAACCGATTGCACCTCTAATATTTTAATAAATACTTTGGTTAATCTAATTGACTATATGGTGGTGACCCCACCAGAGTAAGACACATCTGGATAAGATGAAAAATTGCTTACATTATACAGATAAAACCAGAAATGCTTGTCATACTTAGACAACAAATTTTTTTTTTTTTTACTTCAATAAGTTCAAATATAAGCGATTATAAAGCATCCGCCATATGATGGTAATTATTTTTAATTCAAATGGAGTTAAGTTTCCGAACGGTACAGATCATATGTTATACTTAAAACAATGTTTGATTGACCATTTTAAAGCAGGAAAAAGTGAGAATATTCTTGTGGGCTATGACCCTTCCTTTCACTTAACATAGCTACTCAAATAACGGCTCCCCAAATAAGTGATCTAATCTAAACATTTTTAATAATCTTCACCCTTAGGCTAAAACACGTCCATGTACCGATTTCCATTACAATAATCTCAAAAATTTGCACTTATAAGTTAAAGACAAGACTACAAGACCGTCAGACGAACAGACAACACTAAATCGATTCGGAAAGTAATTCTCAAAGTGATTCTAAATCAATAGATATATCATAAAATGGGTCTATTTCAAGTCCTTCCGGGTGTTGTATACATCCGCTCTTGTACCATAAGTAGTGTAGGGTACAAAAGGTAAAAACATTATAGGCGAGCGAGGCCTTCTATAAAAATACCAACGCAAAAGGAAGGTGATCTTAGTCATAATAGCGTTTACTTGGAGCTAGGCCCAAAACATGGGCTGACTTGGTTGAAATTTAACAAAAGTGCTGTTTTTGTAGCGCTATATATAGCATACCGATAAACAATTCGATAAAAATCACATAGCACTCACACAGGGTTCACAAATAATTTATCTTCACTTTCGTAACGCATGCATATATAAATGTATTCATGTTTTTTGTCTACGATTAGCAATGATTGCTTTTATCCGCAAAGCCAAAACTTGACATCATTTGCGCAGCTATATAGAATTCAAGTAATTCTATATAAAATTGATTCAATTCAATTCGCAATACAAATGCAATCTTATGCCGAGTGCAAGAGAAGCACAACTAAAAAATTAATCTTCTTATCACAGATATTATTATTATTATTATTATTATTCTATTTTCGTCACAAAGCACTAAAAACTAAACTTTGTTGCTTTATAAAAGATACAGTCCGAAACATTTACCTACATGGCTCAAATTTACTACAGTCAAGTATGGAATGTAAAATGTGCCTTAGTTTTCATGAGAAATCTTACGCAGCGTGGAGTGCGGAAAAATAGACGTATAGTTGATTTTAATGGCAAACTGTTAGTTCTCAATGCGAAATATTAAAAAGACTTTTAAATACCCTACAGCGCATTGTCTAACACAATTCTTATTTTTGCCATAGAGCATGTTTTTATGGGAACTGTATATTCAAAATTAGTTTTCTTTGCAAGTGAAGATTTACTTTCGGTAAAAATGGTTGTGCCCAGGAGGTTCAAAAATTGTAATACACATTCAAAATTCTACTTCAGTTAATGTGTATATCCAACTGCTATTTGTGGAGTAATTTTTATCATAAAATACTAAAACTTAACGTTTTCTGACCTAGGATAGTCGGATCCAAAAATAGGCGTGGCTGGTCCAAATTGTGGTGCATCGAATTTCTTTTGTCTTCAATTACTATTATAGATTAAGATTCACCATAACATTTTAAAATTTGGAAATTTCTGGCCTACAAAAATGCAATACATAGGGAGGTAGGTGTCTTAATAATAACGCGAGCTAAATTAATTTTCGATAGAGATCGTCCATGGTCGAAAACACGTCAGTGTGCCATCCTTCGCTGAAATATTGCAAAAATTGCGATCTGTAAACTCAACACAAAATACATGGAAAAACATGACATGAGCAGACCGACAGACGGACAGACATGCTTAAATTGAACGGTATAATAAAAGTGCCATCTATCGTAACTACTTCCAGACAAACTTAACACGCTTTGTAGCGCAAGTGCTATAAGGCGTAAATAGAAGAAACCCTAATGAGGAGTTTTCCAAAATTCGATTTGAGAAATTTTATTAAATGTTTGTACTAAAACAATTTTTAAAAAATAACGCTTTCAAGAAAAATTATTCTACTCTATTACTTATCTAATATGAACTCTTTCAGAATGCAAAGACCCGGCAGTATCACGAAGAGTTCAGAATCGAAAAATTATGCAAAATTAGTTCAAGTTGTGAAAGTAAATAAAAGATTATTGTCTTTGGGTGATTTCCTAATTTGTTTAAATAATAAATTCATTTAGACAACAACAACAACAACAACAAAAACAACAATTAGTATCTATAGCAAAAATTAAAAAAAATAAAAATTGGAAAAAAATTCTTTTACTTACATAATTGCGATACGAAGACATAATTTGTCTTTAATTGCTTTTTCAAAAGTGTTTGACTACTGCTCGGCTTGAAGATGCATGCAATTAACTTGCTTATAAAAAACACATAGCGGGACGTTGCTTTTTCTTTTTTTTTTTTTTTTTTCTTAACTTTTTTTTTTCTGTTTTGATAAAATGAATTTTTGTTTTGGTAAAGTCAAATTTTTTTTTTCATTTAGGACGTAAATAAACACGCCATTGGATATTCGGCACGTGGATGCACATATGTGTACTCCTACCGCAATTAAAGCACAAACCTGAGTAAATTAAAATAAAGTTTTTTTTTTTTTTCTTTTTCTTAATACAATTTTTCCAAGTATTTTTTATTTATTGCATTTCTCTTTTATTTTTAAGGCATTTCTATATAGTTAATTTACTTTATTGACATATTTCGAAAAGAAAAAAAAAATTATTTTGTTAATTTCGTCAAATATATAGAGTAGGTTTGCTCGCACGTTCTTAATCAATATCACTGTCAGTGGCGATGTGATAATATTTTCATATTCTTTACTGCGAATGTCTGTCTGTTAATATTGTATGAAACTTGCCAAAGCTTTCTTGCTCTCTCTCTCTCTCTCTCTCTCTCTCTCTCTCTCTCTCTCTCTCT